GTGGCACTGACAAACTGAAAACTTTTAAATGTATTCTCCACAGAGTTTCCACAGAGTACTTTAACTGTGCTGCTTGCATGAGTTCTAAAATGCTCAAATGGGTCTAGAGAACTGCACAACTTTTCCAGTCTTAGAGGTGTTGTAGCCAAATAAAACCAGTTCTGGGAAATACAGATAGACTGGAAGCATGGCCTTCAGGTGGAAAGCTAGCATACCAAAGGAAACCTAATTAGCCCTGACCCAGCCTAGTCAAACAGGGACATCAAGGTTTTGAGAAAATGACATGATATCTTCTTGAGCATTGACTCACAAGATCAGAAATAGAAAAAACATTCACCTAATCCAAAAGAAAATATCTATAAGTTGATAAATTGTTGTACAACACTTAACCTAAGAGAGAAATAGTAATCATGCCCCAGGAGATACCATGAAGTCACAGCTCATCTCAGGCCCTGAAAGGGTAATGGATCACAGACTCACAGGATGGGCCATGTTGAAAGGGACTGCAGTGTGTCACCTGGCCCATTTCCCTGCTCCAGCAGGATCATCCTGCAGCACACAGCACAGGATTGTGTCCAGACAGCTGTGGGATATCTCCAGATCCTGGAAGTGCAGCCTAGTTGCAAGCACTGATTGGGTGTGACAGACATTGGACTCACACAGAGTGTTCTTCATGTATCAGCACATGTATTGTACACTACATATTTTGTTTAAAATCTGCTGAGGACAGGAAGCTGAGAAGAAGACTGTGTATTTGGACATAGGTCCTGGCCTCTGAGCCACACTGTGCAGCCTTTTGGTCTGGAATGACCCAGCTTGAAAAGATGTGTTGTGGAGGGGCTGTTTGTTGCTTTTTTCTCTCCAGGATGTTCTTTAATTTGTTTATACAACGGTTGTAAACCATTTCCCTGCTTAAAAGAGTTATCATGTACCAGACTATATTATTTTGGGCCCTAATAAAATGTAACATAGGAGATTGAAAGCCTTTGGGTTCTTTTGATAGTTTCACTTAAAAGAAAAGTCTATGGAGGCTTTTCCCCCTCTTAGCTCTGGTTAATTTAAGTCCTTCCACATAGATGCTTTCTAAATTCTTGTCTTTATTTCAAATGTATCTCATGTACAAAACATTCATTTTTTACACATGGCTGGCTTGTATATTCAATGTGAAGGAGAAATCACTACTGAAGTCACTGAGAAGTTCAGCTTAAAATAAAAAATCAATCACATGTGATTACTTTAAAATATTAATGTGTAAAAATTAAAGTTTTCTTTAGAGCTAAAAATATCTTTGATTCTTAAGTGAAGGAGAAGGAAAAAAATCAATGGAAATTAAATATTGATTTAACAAAAATAGGCAGTTAATTCTTTATGTACAATTTCCTATTCATAGATCCACCGTCATTGTACAAGCAAAGTAATTAACACAAAATATGATTTTACAGACAAATTTCTCCTCCAGAATCTTGTAAGGAGGACTCAGGACTGCACCAAGCCCAGGTCTCCGTGCAGAGCCTGGTCTCACAGCCAGACACATGCTCTGCTGGCAAGGGGAGAGGAGCACTCTGCGCCTCGTCCCTCCTGGCTGCAGCTGAGCATCAGCACCGATCAATCTCCCTGCAGTCTGTCCTGCTAAGGCAGGCACTGGCATGGCTGAGGTATTGGCATACTTTGTGATGGGCTTTGTTGCAGGGCTGGAGACCGCCAGCTGAAGCTGGTGGATTCTTTAATCACCCCATCAAAATTCAGTGGAAGTCATTTTCCTGAGTCCTGAAACACTGAAATGAGATGATTTGGCCAGCATCCCATTACAGGCCATCTCAGGAGCTAAGAAGAAAATTATGGTCTCCTCCTTGCAGACTTATACTCTGCAATGTAAGATATTCTCTTTAAAGTGAATTTTTGTTTCATTAGACTCAGCTGAGAAAATCCACACGCCCCATCTTCCATCAATTAAACAAATTGAAGAAGTAGATTTAGCCTAGTTCCTCATTCAGGACTGCAGAGCAATTGTTGGAAAAAAATCATCCTTCAAGCTTGTAAAACCTTACTACATTAAAAAAGAAAAATAAATTTGAAAAAAAGAGGAGAAGTTAAAAAAGTCTTTAGATACATTTAAAGATAAATCTCTGCTACAGTTGGAGAGTCACCATGCTCTCAGGCAGACTGAATAACATACTGGACAAAACTTACAGGAGGGCCAGGAGTCCTTTGTGATAAATTCTATCACCTAATTGAAGACCAATTTGGGATAGTTTGAGATGGTTTAGGAGTCCTTCTCTGAGGAAATTCATCCCAATCTCTGTTTATTATTACATTTTCTCTGCCTGAGAGGGCTGATCATTCAGATGAAGATTAGTACTATAAGTATTATATATATGCATTAGAACTGTAAAGGGTATTATTTAAAGGTATTCCCTCCTAAAGGAGCAAAGAGTAGCGTGTCAAGTGGCAGGAGTGGTTTCTAGGTGAAGTATACCTATTAACCACTTAAAATGTGTAAATCTTCTATGTGATTTTAGGTACATTAAAAACTATCCAGATTATTTTTATATGAAACCCCAGCGTTGGTGTTTTGGGTTTTTTGGGGTTTTTTTAGGAAACAGACTATGTATGTAACACAACTGCACTGCTCTTCACTGTGTCTGAATTAGTTTGGAGGAAAATCTCCCTTTCTCAAGGATACCACAAATTGATGCAGCTTTCTGTTTTTCTGTTTTCCAATTTGGGAGTTCTGTCAGATAATATGTGTGGAGATTTTAGGAGGTCTTTTTAAGACAATCAGAAGTGGTTTCAGGACAGGATCCTAAAGCAGAGAAACAGCTGTATTTCTTTGGTTTTTTGACTTAATTAATGTATTAATTGATTTGTCTTTCAGATTTAATAAAGAATTTTATAATCTCTCCCACCAAATTATTTAAACATTCTTTTCAGTTTTAGTAGAGATTTATTTTTACACTGTTCATTTGATCATTTCAGCAGGGTACAAAATTGTGCCTCCAGGCACAGCCTGTTGTGAGAAGCTGAGCGGAGATGCACTGCCTCCTGGGGCTGGAAAAGATGCTTCCTTCATTACTGGGTTATCTCTCAAAGCAGCCTGGTTGCACTATGGGAAAATAATTGATACTCACTTTTGGATGGCTGCAGTATATTCTCATTTCACTGCTAAGCCAATCCACTTGGAATTGAGAGGCAGAGATAGAGGGAGTTTTTTGACCCTTAACTGGCATCTTTCCCACAGGATGGCAATCAAATGTGCTTTCACAAGAACATGGGTTTCTGCTTGGTTTGGCCCTGATATGATCTCTGCCAGGTCTTTACTTGCAGAAGTATCACCGAGTCATGGGAGACAGAAAAATAAACTGTCACTAGTTTTCCAGATTTTAAACAGAGAGTTAATTTACTCTGGGCTTTGCTTGAACAAGTCAGAGTAGCTGCTCTTTTGGTTTTCAGGTTTAAAAAAAAACTCATAAGGGCTATGTAGTGATTCCTGAAAAAGTCTCCCTCAGACAAGATCATATTATTTTCAGCTTAACCAATTACCCCATATTAGGCCCTGCATCTTGTTATCTATAGAAAGGATTATTAAAAAGCCTACCTTTGATCATGGTGAAGATCAAGCCTTCCTTAGCCTTCCAGGTGTGTTCGTTTCCAGCACTTTACTCCAAAAATGCCCTTTGCCTTCCCTCTTCCTACTTTCCTGTTTTGTCTTCTTCCACTATCTGTCTGTGATCCCTATATCAAATAAAGATTTTTTTTAATATGAGAAACAATCATTTCAATGTAACCACAACAACTCTCATTAGCATCTGAATATTTATGTTTTGGCAGTGAAAAGAGATGTTTGGCAAGGCCATTCAGTTAGCATCCCCTATGTTTGATAAATTCACTGAGGACAACTTATTGCAAAACCAAAACACTGGTCTTTAAATGAATCAACATTGTTATTCACTGAAGTAGAATGTATCCTATGGCCCTACAAAGGTCACCTTGAAATTTACAGAAGCAGTTGCATGGCCAGCTGAAATTGGCAATTAGAAAATTAATTCCACAGTCAAGATACCAGACTGAATTAGCATGTTATTGAAGATCCATTTAAGATTACATTTACTGCTCTGAGAAATGATTTGTCATTTCCATTGCTAACTATCCCAGAGAGTTTATTCCTAACACAGCAAAACTCTTTCTGTTCCTCACCAGCAGTGTAAGCTGTAACAATCCTGCTTCCACTGAGGCTTTACCTCAAAGATACCTCATGCTCAGGGCTTTCTTAAATAAATTCTTGAATCAGGTACCAAATCTTACCCATCAATCTTGCTCTCAGTAATATAATCACAGCTTTATGGATTTTGATGGAATTGTGTGAGCGTAATGTACCAACCTGGTTAGAGGATTTTGAAGTCCAGTCCAGTTGGACTACGTGCATTTCCCTTAGGTCCAACTGAAAAAAATACTTCTAAAGGGGTGTAATATTAAAATCCTATCTGTTTCTATTCTAATTACCTAATAAAGTCTTAAAGTACAAGCTAGGGATGATAAAGTTTCATTTAATTAGCAAATAGATAACCTGGCCTGCTGAAGGAATTTGCTTTATATTGAGATATCTAGGGAAAGAGACTTAGAGACTTTCTGAAATACAGGAGAAAAACTCAAGCTACAACAACAGAAAAGAAGCTGAGAGAATTTTCATCAGCTTCAGTGGGAGTGAGCAGGATATCATTGTAAACATACAGGTACTTTCTGCAGACTTTTTGTTCTAGTGTGACATAAGATATTTAAATTCTAGTCTGTTGTTTTCCCTTTTATTATCATTATTATCTCACATCCTATATTGTAGTTCTATATTCTTTATTGTTTTTTTCTTGCATTCTCCGTTTATATTTATTCAAAATGCATATTATCCAAGCATGTTCTCATATTAACCAACATTTACACATAACACATGGTGGGACTGAGATTTCTGTTTACTCAGTTTCTTTTCTGACTTGTGCATGTATCATAAATCAAAAATTTTCAAAAGTAGGTACTTGGCTTAGGAACTAAATTCCATTTTCAAAAAATATTTATGCACATAAAAATACTCAGGCTCATTGGCCTCTAAGTCCATTTGGAAAGATGATTTAAAAAGCACAGATAAAGCCAATTATTTCAGCACAAACTGAGATTCAGGCAGGCAGAAAAAGAAAGTATGAAGAGATGATTGAGAACATTGCAGAAGATAAAAGAAAAAATATAAACTGAAAAGTAGGCATAAAAAGCATCTCATGCAATTTGAGAAACTAAATGCAGGGTAGCTGAAGAGAGGAAAAAAGGCTGTGATACAGCTACTGAATGAAATTGTCATTGGGTTTTTGGGGTTTTTTTGCTTCTCCATATTTTTTTCTGAATCCTGATTTTCTCCTCACACTGACAAAACTATCTTGCATATACTGTGTCAGACATTTGTTCCATAGCTGCAGACCTGGCTAGCAGCCCTCTTTAGAAACGTAATATGTACATTTCCCTCACTTGCTAGGCCTATGCAGAGAAGGGGCTGCTCTTGAAGACACATTTCAAAGGAGAGGCTGGACGAGATGATCTCCAGAGGTTTCTTCAAACCAAAGTTAACATGGACTACTCTGAACACTCCATTTCCCATAATGTACCTTAATTTCAGTGGGATTTTTGGGTGAATAGGATAAATCACTGTATCTGCAACTGTTGTGTGTATCTGCAGCTGCAGTGAAGCTGTGATCATTTGAAAATTCATGGACTCCATCTAACACAATTAAGAGAATAGTAAGAAATTAGGCACACCATGTTGGAGGTGTTTAAAACCAGGGAACTTACATCCTCTTTTCAGGGAGAAAAAAAAAAAATCCCCAAAAAATTAAAGACCTTGAAGGAAAGCACTTGACAGAATGATGAATAATGTCTGTCTTGTACACCACGTGAGGGGAAAGGAAAGCAGCACCTCTGTCACTCAGAACTGGAAGGAAAGTAAAAGGAAATGGCACATTCTCTCTCCAGAAATACCCTGTACTTCTGAAATGTGCAGTACTGTCTGTAAACTTTGTTATGTCAGTTTTGGTTGGCGTAGCATGGTACTTGCAAGGAAAGATCAATAAAAACAAAAAGGTAGTGTGTGTGAGTTGATGAAAACAAAATGACAACAATTTCCAGGTAAAAAGTACAGGAAATCAATTGGTCATGCATGTCAGCATGAAATTAAGACAACTGCATGCAGAATCAGAGTTATCTCTGTCATATTTCTATGGAAGTGTTACCAGATATTACACAAGGGATTGGCAGAGTTTCTTAAACTAGTCCGGAAAAATAACTTTACTTGAGTGTCATCCATTTGTGCAACTCAGCTTATACTTTGTACATCTGAAAGTTCTTAGGTCTTAAATTTAAAATGAACTATATAAAACCAAGGAATTAATTTGGAGTTTATGGAATTTCTTCCCCGAGTTAATGTAAAAAAACATCTTGAAGGCCCACTGTTCTACAGGTATTACACAGCCTGTTTTTTTTTCATTTAGCCCAGAGTTCTGGTGACCTGTAACCAAGCCATGTAACACTGAGATCACACATTGAGATCAGAGATTACCCTGTTTAAGAGAAGATACTTAGTGCCTCCTAACACGTTCACAGAAAATCAGGTGAGTTCCATGGTGCTGGTGTTGGCTTTCCTGTAGTTAATTGATGATGACTATTCACTGGTGGCACATCAATTTACTCCTTAACCCCCTTTCTCAAATCATCATCTCCCTTTTTTTAATCAGAATACTGTTCAGTAAAATTGATTTTGTCCCATTAATAGCTTCATTTTTCTTTAATATCTGTAGAGGAAGGCAGCTATAAAGGCTGATTGTTTCCAAGTTAGCATAGCCTGTAAAGTAGTGGGGAGATAAGAACGTTTCCTATCTTTTTAGGTTTGGCAAAAACAGGAAATTTTCATTTAAAAAGAAAATGTACTTAATTAACAAGACTGAACTATTTTAAGGGTTATTAACTGTGCTTACATCCATGTCAGTCCTATTACAAGTGATAAACATTCTTTCTGTTCCAAAATCCAGAAGGAGCATAATTCAACCATAAGCCTGTGTGGATGCTGGGATGCGTATGTGTGTGTAGAGGTTTGTGCTGATGTTTTCCCTGGAGGTCAGTCTGTGTTTTTGGGGATGCCTGTATACTTCCCCCTCAACTGAATAAAAAGAGGGAATTGCAGTGCCAGGAGCCCATGCCCAGACAGTGACACCTGCAGGGACATACTCAGGTGGGTGACAGTGCTTGTGATCCATGGGCCTGGGGCAGACTGGGGGTAACTGGGGACATGGGGGGTTGAGGGGAGCAGGAGGCAGGGGAGGGCATGTTCCTGGTGATTAGTTTCTGGGGCTGGGAAATAAATTGTTTATTAATGCTCTGTACGTGCCTGGGATCGTCATTTGTTTGTTGGATTGCCAATATTGACCCTGAATATATAGTACACTGATTGTCCTGGATATATAACACACTGATTGCCAGTTAATTAGGTGTCATTAATAAGTCAATAAACAACTTTGAATGAGGTGAATTAAGCCACGGAGATGTTTTTCTCCCTGCAGCAATAGCCATTCCAAGAGCTGCTTTGCTCAGACAGCAACTAGAGGGGAAACCCAGCAGCTCAGAAGCTCAGTGTGTCTCAAGCAGAATGCCCCTGGCTCTGCTCTGCCAGGCTGCAGGAGCCAGGTCATCCACTGCCCCCAGGATAGGAGCAGCCCAGGCCCTGCAGTAATGTGGCTTCTCAAAAACTGCCAAATTGTCCTTTTCTCCCACATTTTCTTCTGACTCCTCTTGCACAAGGAGCTGAGAGGTGTGCATGTTCCTTACTTCCCTTTGCTGACCTAATTTGCGTCGCTCCAAGCCTGTATATTGTCTTGGTTTGGAAAGACAGGAGTCTGCTAAGGAAGGCAGGAGCCTCCCCTGAAATGCAGAATGTAAACCCTCCCCATCCCTCTGAATTGCTATAAATTTTAAATTAAAGGGCTCTCAGGCATTAATATATGGGAGCAGGAAATAAATTCTTTAATAGGGAAAAGAAAAAAAATAAAGGATAAAATAAACAATGCAGAACACTAGAACAATACTGACATAGTCAGAACCCAGCCTGACACCCTGTGGGGTGTTGGTGGCAGTCCAATTGGAAATGTGGCTGCAGCCCTCCTGCAGTGTCAGGGCTGGTTCTCTTGGAGCAAGGGAGATCTGTAGAGAAGGATGGATTCTTCCTCTGAAGATCCAGTGGAAGGAGATGCAGCTGCTGTTCCTCTGGGGAATCCCGTGGAGAAGCCGTGCTGGCGTCTCAAAAACCTCTGGATTATATCTGGGTAGCAATCCTTGGCCCCTCCCTCTGGGCGGAGCATCTCACAATGGGATGGTATAGTTCTTATCAGTCATGCAGTGACATTCAATAGCTGTTATCAGCAATGTCCCCTCCCTAGGGAGGTGTGAATGTGGTCACTCAAAGAGAGACATAAGGCAAACTGCCCACTTGACAAAGGTAATCTGCCATACAGATGGTAATGGAAAACAACTTGCATTGCAATCTTCAACATATATAGTGGAGATGTTCTTCTCCATCCACAAGTGTCTTTGATGAGTGATTTGGGTAGGGAAAGATTTTGGTAGTCAGTTTGAATTTTATTTGCTCGCCAAATCTGAATTTTGAGACTCTTTTGATGTGTAGGTCATAGGAAATAGCGTAAACAGTACCTCAAGAGCAACTGATGTTCAACCAAGATTTGGGTTTCAGGTCAGTCTGAGACCCTTAAAGACTCTCTAGTATGTAAAGATTTTTGATCCTAGCAGAGGATTTTCAGCTTATAAGGACATCAGATATCAGTTTTTACTTTGATCACAGGTAAACCGAGAAATCATTGCTGGAAATTAAACCTATAAATTTTTTTCCAGCGTGAGTGGATCCTTCCTTGAGTAGAAGTTTTCTAAACCCAACTCTTATTTAACCATACTTTGAACTCTTGCCTTTGTGAGAAATAGCGTAAAATCTTAACTGTCTGATTCTTTCATTCCAAGGAGAAAAATCCATGTTGTCACCCCTTTACCCCCAAGGTATAAAGCAAATTCCCAGCATGCTATAGAATAATTTCTGCATTGCACATAAATACATAGCAAAAAAACTAAAGAACAGACTTTCAAAGCCTCAAATGGAAAGTTAAAAGATTCAAAGAAAAAATTTGTCCTTCCTTAGGTCTCCCTGCTCTGAAACTGAACAATGTTTAGCAAAATCACCTTTAAAAAAGATGGTGTAGTTTACTCCTGCATTCACCAATATGTGCTCTTCTGTTCCTCAGAGCCAGTTCAGGGTACTTCAGCCTGATCAGGTCTGTCTCTCCAGGAATTAGAGATGCTCTTGCCATTATCTTCATTGAAAATGTCAATAAATTGAATATTAATGTAAAGGATATTCACAGAAATATAAAATAAATAAAATAAAACAATACCACTAAAGTACAGAAGAGTTAATATTGTTGATGAAGACTTGGTTTTGAAGATTGTTGTTTCAATTTATTGTGCTACTACAAATTACTGTTCATGAATATTAGACTGATCACTGAACACTAAAGGTTAATCACTAAATATTGACATAAAATTGTAAGAGTAGCATATTATTCTTTATTTCTTTAAAAAAAATCTGTCACTTCTTTGGGACTGGAAATGAAATTATACTAATTTCTAAATTAGTAGGAATTCTCTTGAATGGAGAATAATAGCAAAGAATAGTTTGTCAGACATATAAAGAACATCAGCAGATTGCTAGGGGTGTTGTGAAAATGTAGAATATTTGCCAATTTTTCAATTGCAGGATGAACAATAAAAGAGAATATTTAAAGTCAAATTTTCAATTTCCAGACAGAGCTTTTGGACTAGCAATGTTTTAATAGTTTGCCTAGTTGATGTTCCTGCTTGGTCCATAGTAATTTCCAGTTCCTCCATTTCTCTTTGTGAAATCATCCTGAAAAGTATTTCCACTGAAAGACACAAATCAGGCTCAACAACTTCCACTGAAGAATTAGCACATGTCAAACTTCAGATTGCCTCAAGCCCAGCAGTCTGATTTGCATACCCTTCTTTATAAAGTTTAAAAAAAGGCTATTAACCTCAATGCACATCAAGAGTAATGAACAGTTTTCGCATAAATTTTAATTATAGAAAATCCCATTTTTTTCGAATCTTTGTGTAGCAATAATTTTAGCAATGATGTTTTAAAATGTTTCTTTCTTCCCATATAGGTTTCCTGACAATATTTCTCATAAATGGAGACATTTTATATACTGGAAATGATGGATATAAACTATATAGTTTTACAACTGTTCTCAGCAATGTGTCAGGGGAAAAATGCAGGCATGACAGAAAATGCAAACTTCAAAAAGTAAGAATGTTCAGAGGTAATAAATATGATTCAGTACAGAACGACAAAAATATTTCATTTTAGAATAAATTGACCTTTCATATTAAGATTGTCCTTATTTCAAAATCGCCATTAAAATACGCGAAGAATTGGCTATTGCTTTCAATATATTCATCACTGCCTAAAGTCAGGACTTTTAGACACAACTGGTATTAATTACGTAGGAAAGAAATGCTGTAGGAGATTCAAGGGAGAAATGCTGTAGGAGATTCAAGGGGCTGTGACTTCTTGCCCCACAAAGAGGGAGCTGTGAGGCCATTTGTAGTCTCAGTATACAGAATATTTTTACATCTGTGTGTGCTCAGAGAATAGGACATGTCACACAGGGACATCAAGAGCTGCCAAACACAGTGAAGACTGAGACATTGCAGTGAGCACTCGGGTCTGGAATTTGGCCCTTTCCTCCTCAAATGCAGCTTTTAAAGATGTATGCAGTCATATTTGGCAGAATAGTGGACAGCAATGTCCTTATTCCTTAAATTCAGCCATTCTCAAAAATTCATGGTGTGACCGAGAAGTGTGAACTTAAATAGGGTGATACATAAAGTAAAAATTATCCCTCATAGCATAGTTTGTGTTGCTGATCAGAGACAAAACTACACAGGAGTCTGCTCCCAAAAGCAGCAAAGCATTGCATTGGAGGTCTGTTATTCACCTGTACCTACATGAAGTTCAGTAACACTTTGGTTAGCCATAGGAAGAAAGATTGAGTGCTGTCCTTGGAAAATGACAGCTCCTGGGAAGTTTAAACCAAGTAATATAGCAGGCAAGGGGACAATTTTAACAGTCTCCTGCTTTTGTCAATTCCTACTGAAAAAGCAAAGTGAAATCTGAAATAACTTTCAGCTTGATGGAGAGAAGGAAAAGTTACTCTGTGGGTACAGAAAAGAGAAAAAGTGTTGATTCAACAAACAAATATGGAAACACCTTCCCCTGTCTTTCAGCATATATTATATCCCATGCCCCTACATATTCTGTTCTCAGTGGGGTTGTTACTGGCTGAAACACAAGGTAAAATCAATAATTTTTTTATTGATTTTGATATCTCATTTTTATGATTCTTCTCCTGTATCCAAACATTTCAGCCATTCTTATTTTTGTGGATAAAGATTTCAAGAGTGATAGTAACTCACCGTGGGATGGATTTTTTCCCCCCTTCACTGAAAATTAAAAAAAAACACAGTGTGAGATCCC